GATGAAGGAGAAGAGGAACAGTGTGGCAGCAGCCTCAGCAGCAGTAGGTCTCAATATACGCAAAGGGAAAAGCAGGATTCTCCGATACAACACAGAATATATATATATATATATATATATATATATATATATATATATATATATATATGAGGATATTAAAAACAGTTTGTTGTGTTCTTTTGGCATAATACAAAAAGAATTGAAAGGAAAGGAAGTGTTATATGTCTGGAGTTCAGTATTCGTTTATGTGTTCCGAAAACCTTATTTTTCCAGAACGCATTGTTTTAAGTCTGTTGTCAGACACTACGGAGTTTTGTCGTGATTGCTGATTATCGGATGAGGTATCGTAATTGTGAATCTCGTGCCCTTCAATCGTACCGATGGGAAATCAACGTAAATAGGGTTTATCTTAAGATACTCGGCACTGAAACAATCGACTCTGATACTATCATCGGTTCCGTTCTTAGCAATTCTATAATACCTAGGTGCTTTCTAAAAAAGTTTGGAGAGTCCTCCGTATGCTATTTCGAGAGGTCATCGTAATAAGTCACGACGTATGAACATGTGTGTACTACGTCATGAGGTAAGTTGAACGAAAACATTTGTCGGCAGTGGTCGAGTGGAAATAGTTTTAACTAGACGCATCGTGTTCGATGGCTTGCTCATGTAGGAAGTTAGATCAATATTCACTGAATAAGACGAAGGATCCACGAATTTTCCTGGAAGTCGGAGTGTCGTTCCTTAAATGCATTAAGCTGCGGTGTATCCAATGTCACCTTTCACTGCATTGCGAACACCTAGTAAGACAAGTAGGGCGGCGTCGGTCCACTGTGAAACATTTGCAGCTGGGAGTGAAGCTTTAATTTGTCTGTGAAAGCGTTCCAACAACTAGTTTACTTGAGGATAGTAGGCGGCCATTCAGAATCATGTGACTCATAGTAGTGTAGCAAGACAAAGGAAGAGTCTAGATTCAATTTGGTGTTCGGGATCGGCAATGATAGCTGAAGGGCAGCCGCAGGTCACTATTACAGCAGTAATGTTCTTGATGTAAACTGCCTCTGACCATTGAGTAAAACGGTTTACACAAGAAATAGGTTTATCCATTTGAATATGGTAAAGATCCTACCAAATCGAAATGAACATGGTCTAGACGGTCGTCGGCAGTTTTTAATGAGCGTTGGGCACATTTCTTGTGTCCAATCACCTTACATTTTTGACAGCTTACATAGGAGCGTGACCACTCCCTCACGCCTTTATTCACAGCAGGCCAGCAAAACTGTTCTATGGGCTTGATGGCTGCACGAACACCTGGATGAGAAGGTTTGTGAAACGTATTGAAGGTGTTACGTCGATAAGGTTTTGGTACGGTTGGACAATTCCTACTTGCAGATGTGTTACGCAGTAAACGTTCCTTTACTGACTACATCTGCTTGATACTCAGTTCTACGGTTGTCGAAGATAACTCGTGCTGAAAACCAGTATATTCCTTTTAAAGATTAACCAATCTAGAAGGATCCATTCCTCGGAAACTTTTCATAGCGGTTATATGAGACAAAGTAACTACAACTACATTGTTTGCCCCAGACCTGTGTTTGTATATTTGGAATAAACTGCGAAATGTAGCCCAGTTGTCGAAACTCTTGAGAAATGTACTTGTATGAAGATGATTTTAAAGAGGTTAGATATTTGTGATCGGTGAAAAAGTGAATTTTTGGCCTTCCACAAAGTGCTGAACGTACAGCAAAATATATGGCTAGGTGTTCCCTGCCGAAAGTGCTGTACCACGATTCAGTGTCTGGCAACCATCTACAAAACAATATCAAGGGTTGCTGGGAGTGGCTTACTCACTGTTGTAAGGCCCATTTGATTTCTGAGTCGGATGCGTCTACTGCCATACTGCTGAGTGATTCAGTGTTCTGGTGTGCAAGCATGGCTGCTTTGGTGATAAGTTCTTCAACTGTGGAGGATGCTTTTATCACATCATCGTCCAAATCGGTGGATTTCTCATTTCCACGAAGTGGGCCGGCTAGAGGTTTCTCAGGGGACGCGCAATTTGGTATGACCCGTCTACATAAACTTATTACACCGTTACTTGTGTGTAGGTGCTTGATTGTGGTCGGTTACAGGTTATCGAGAATGGTCTCTACTTTGCTTCGAAGAGGACTAATGACTTGAGAATCAATGATATATCCGAAAAAATTTGGAGAGTCGGTAACGATTTCACATTTTTGAATGTTTACGGCAACGCCATGTTTTTGCAATCGTTCAAAAACAAGATTCAGATTCGGGAGATGAGATATTCTGTCCGGACATACAGTCAAGCAGTCATTAACATATACATGCACGAAATTGAGTCTGTTACATGACATTTATACCAGATTATTAGTAGTTTGACGTATTTGTTGCTCACAACCTGGGTGAATGTTTAGTCAGCCTAATGTGGTTATTTGTAACAATACAAACTCAAGCAAGTAAAATTCACCATCGTTCAAGTCAAAAATAGGTCACAAAAAGAGTTTTAGGGAAAATAAGCTTTAAAACATTTTACATTTGGTTCACGTCATTGGTTATGGTGATGATGAACATGGATGCTGGTAGTTGTTTACAAAATGTAGGTTGAAGCAATTAAGCTGACCGATTAGCATCATAAACAAGATATAAAGTAAACTAATAACATTGTAAGGCGTTCGTAGTTATATGATGGGGATTTGAAGCTCCCAGTGCTTGATCCTAGAAAAACTCAGATCAAATAACAAGTTACTTACTAACTTACTTCCTTATGCCTGTTACTCCCAATGGAGCATAGGCCGCCGACCAACATTCTCCAACCCACTCTGTCTTGGGCCTTCTTTTCTAATTCCATCCAATTCTTGTTCATTTTTCTCATGTCTATTTCCATTTCCCAGCTTAATGTGTTCTTTGGTCGTCCTCTTTTCCTTTGGCCTCGAGCATTCCAACTGAGAGCTTGTCTTGTGACGCAGGTCGGTACTTTCCTCAATGTGTGTCCCATCCATTTCCAGCTCATCTTTCTGATTTCTCCCTCCTCTGGAATCTGGTTTGTCCGCTCCCACAGTAGGTTGTTGCTGATATTGTCTGACCAACGGATCCGAAGTATTTCGCGTGAACAGCTGTTTACAAACACTTACATCTTCTGGATGATGGCTTTCGTAGTTCTCCAGGTTTCTGCCCCATACAGTAGAACTGTCTTGACATTTGTATTGAAAATCTTGACCTTAATGTTGGTTGATAGTTGTTTTGAGTTCCAGATGTTCTTCAATTGTAGATATGCTGCTCTTGCTTTACCGATCCGCGCCTTCACATCCGCATCAGATCCACCCTGTTCATAAATAATGCTGCCCAAATATGTAAAGGTTCTTACATCTTCCAAATCTTCCCCGTCAATTGTGATTGGATTGGTGCATTCTGTGTTGTATCGGAGAATCCTGCTTTTCCCTTAGTGTATATTAAGACTTACTGCTGCTGAGGCTGCTGCCACACTGTTCCTCTTCTCCTGCATTTGTTGTTGCGTTTGGGATAGAAGGGCCAGATCGTCTCCGTTGTGGCCACGGAACTCAGCAATGAGGCAAACATTGGTGAAGTCACGAAATGTTGTATAAGATCATTTGTGGAGTTAAACGTTTAATCTGGAAGACAAAATATCAAGTAGATGTTCGATTCTTACTAAAAGCAAGCACGCACTACATAGGTATATGTTACTTGTGGCTATCCTGACGAGTGGACATTAGCGTTCTTTTCTAATTGTTTATGAGTTGTGGTCATGTTATTCATCTATTTACCCATATCGGATTTATATTCGCATATGAGCGGTGAAAGCATTTGCATTTCATTCACCTCCCTAATTATGGTGGTGTTGAACTTGGATGTTCACAGCTGTTTGTAAAATGTAGGTTGAAGCAAGAGACTGTGCGTCTGTGATAAAGGTTACCAACGAATCTTTATTATAGGAATCTGAAATCTCTAACGAAAAGCACTGTTCATAAGTAAGACTTTTATAGTTACATTGTTACCTGCTATTTGATTGACTTATTGAATTTGATGCTAATAACGAAGTTTATTTGTTTGTCTCAAGACTGATTTGTTGTTTTTCAGAATTGTACGAAGCTTATGGGATTTACGATTTTGGAAAATCATGTGGAAAACCAGTTTACAAGTTCATGAAGGATTCATAGAATTAAAAACTGATAAGATGGGTTTTGTATTATTTGGGAAAAATTGTGTTATATTCCTCGTCCATTACCGAATTCTTAAACAACCCTCTCACTCACACTTTTTTGCTCACTTGATCCTCTTAAATTATGTGAAATCTTCAAATCCTATTCAATTATCTTATTAGTTTTTAATTCTATGAATCCTTCATTACCTCTAACATTTTATCTGTCTGAGTTCCACTTGACTATTACACCCATGCTTAATGTTCCCTTGATTCTGATACCAAATAACCTTTGACCTGTTCCTGCATATATATATATATATATATATATATATATATATATATATATATATATATTAGTTACCATTGATAATCTAGGTCATTCCAATTCTTTACATTCTCTCATATCCATCGTTTCATACTATTTCTTACCTCAATGTTAAATTCTAATACATATTTGCTTGTAAGCAGTCTATGAAAAACTACAGAATATAATGAAGTCATATTATTCTGCATCGATATTTGTTCTGGCTTTATTTAAAATCATAAAGGGAATTATCTGCATAAAATTATTGTCTAGTTCTGAACTAATAGTAATCTGATAATAGACCTAATCCAACAGCGGTAAATATATCACACGGTCGCCTGATCTGTAAGGTCTTACGTGGAAGTCACGTCACTGTGCAAAGTGACTCGTTGTTTTGTCACAATTAACAATGACATAACTCTGCGTTCTGATGCAGTGGTACAAGTTCTTAATTCTCACAGACAGTTACTCGTTAACATTACTGGTATACCTCCCTATGAAAGTATGAAGAAGAGGAAAATAAAAATTATGCACAAGTTTATTAAATCATCGATAATGCTGATTCAGAAAAACAAGTTCACAAGTTTTTATCGATAATTCCCAAAAAAGTAATTGTTGACGTTTGTTTCAACTTCAATCGCGAAACGTTCATCATATTTCTCAATTGTGTTCGTGCAAATGGAGTTATCATGTTGAATAACGGAAGTACGCGCCTTGGAGAATCATACGTACAGCACCTTACAGCAACTTCTGTATATTTATTGTACAACTATATCTGCTCATGAGTGCTGAAGCAGATACCTGTCACATATCTGTTTTCATAATGCTCTCTCACTTCATCATTCTGTCGCAACATATCCACCACTTGCTTTCGAGTCATGCAACCTGAAATATACTTTTATACACTTACCTGTGTTTAGCTTTCATAGTCTTCACATTGGCAGAGGTGACCTTAACAGTCTTATTTTTGATCATTTCTGCTAATTTACCTGTTGACTGAGACTGCAATATGACTGGCTTCAATTTTTCTCTTTCGTCGGACGACATTCTTCCGGTCCATAGGTCAAAAACCATCCGAGATCTACTACAAGGATGATTGTGCATCATCTTGTATGATTTCATGACAAACCTTTTCGCTTCCAATCTCACGCGGCACTTCAATTGGCAGTTAAGAAACTTAGGCCTTGAACGTCACATATTAGTTAAAGTTCTCAAGGTTTTTGATTCATTGTCGAAATTTCTGATTTACGCTAATGACCGAACGTGCAGTGAAATGTCACGAAAAGGTATTTGAATCTGACATCCATGTGTGTGAATATAATGAGTATGGGTAGTCTAAGAAGGGATAAAATTATCCTTGCATACGTTTTGGAACTTTTTTAGCGCGCTCTCAAAGTCATCCCAGTTTGCAAAACACTTTTTCAGTATAATACGTTGAAAAGCATAGATTAAGTTGGCTGAAATGTCACTTGAACATGAAGCACTACAAAAATCAATCATTAATTATAAAAACGTTATTCCTTGAAACAATAATAACTGAAGGAAAAACTAAAAATATTTAAGACTTGCCGGTGACTAGACATTTCGTTGAGGTTTACTACAGCAGTTAGGACCACAGATCAAGTTACGAAGCGACAACGGAGCCAACGTGTACACTACAAAACAGAGAATATTAAATTATTGCCTTTGGCAGTTATTTTTAATGCAGCAAAAGATGACCTAAGCATGAAAAAAATCAATACTCATGCAACCCCACAAACCCACGGCAATTGAAATACGGAATGATCCTGTTAGGCTGCTCAAGGTCGTTGAAACGAAACAGCGGGCAGAATCGAAAGGCTCTGATGTTCTTTCTTCGCCGTCCAGAAGCCGTGATGTGAGGTGCAACATTGCTGGTTTGTTGGCAATTTCAGTTGCGTTTGGTATACCTCAGTATTTGTTAGTAGTATGGATCGATCGTGTGTCTTATTCTGGCTAGTGATAATCTAGAAGTGCAAAAAGAAGTTGCACAAACAGATAAATTGTTTCCATCTACTAACCTCCGTTTGCACGTGTCGATGACTATATTATGATGTTTCAGCAGGTCTATATCAATTACTGTCACTGAAACATGTATAATAATGAAGATTCAGTGAGTGGGCTTGCGTAAACCAACGCTAAGATAAACATATCCCTTAGCATATGTGGCGATCGGTTCCCTATTTGCTGCCGTAAGTTGAAAATTGCTTCATACAGTCAGCCGCTAGAATTTGCTGGGAGAACGATAACTTCTGAGCCAGTGTCGACGAGGAAGCGAACATTCGTAATCACATCGGTGATGTATATACATAATATATATAATAGACGTCTACGTTAGCCGGCTACGGTTGCCGTTAACACGTGCCGGCTAGGGATTTTCCTGAAACGTCGTAAAAGGTCCTGTAGCGGTAAATAAATCCACAAAATAAATAGCTCTGTAAGTTTTCGACTTTGGATGCTGACCACATGTTTTAATGGACTCACCTAGCTGAAGGTGCTCGGTCATGCATCTGCACCAGATCACGTGTGGGAACGCCGTGCTCAACATCTATTGCGATCGCTAGCCAGACTAGATCAGACAATTCCGATATGTTGACAATCGTCAAATACAACTTCTGATCTCTTCGATTCTGTCTTTTGATTTCTTTTGGTGGGTACGAGTTATATTAGGTGTTACTGGTGAAAGCGTTGTCAACATTGAATATCTGTGCCATCTTCAGTCCATTGACCAAGGTCCTCTCTTCGTAACATGTCTGTCGCTGATGTATGTTGTAGATCGATATCGTTAAAGAGTTAGTCTGAACTTAGTCGGTCGGTTAGATCTCCACATCTAAGAACGTTATTTAGAGTTTCATAAAACTGAGACACCACGAGTAAACATACTAGGTGCCACTATGGGCCACTAAAATGGTGAGCCCTTCAACGAATATCGTCGATCTAAATGAGGACAAAATTAAACTACGGGCCTTCACAAAAATGGTGAGCCTGACGTGATCAGAAAGTGGTGGACCAGAAAGATATGAACGCGAAAAGTATCAACAAAGTTACTGAAGATCAATAGTAATATTAGTATATACCAGTTAATTGTTACAAATACAATAAAAATTTGGGACGCTACTTAAATTGACCAAATGTTGCGTGTTCTGATTGGGTCCGGTATTGTAAATCCACAATTATAAATGCTTGGTGATTCTGAGCGGGTTGACGAACTCTCCAGTGATATAATTCTACGTAGAATGGGATATATTCCAATTACATTATAAAAAATGATAGTATTTGATTTAGACTTCAGCTAACTCAATCACAAACGAAGATAGAACGAGGAATGTGTGAGTAGTAGTGTATTTGTTAGCCAGCAAGAGTATGTCACGCTATGTCAGTATCATAACGGAAAGTGCGTTCAAAGTCATTTACTAAAACAACAGTTACAGTCATTTAATGTTAAATATACACACAGTGGAAGCTTGACAAAATAAATACAAATAACATTGAAAACTATTTACAAAATAAGCTTATCAGACCTACCTTCACAGACTGACTAAACTTAATATATTTTCCTTGTTATACAGTGACTTCATCACTTAATCATAAATTTACATATGATACGGCCACATTTATTGTTCCCCGAAGCACATAATTTACGATGACACAAACTAGGTTTGCAAGCACAAGACAAATTAATCGTCAGTTGAACACCGAGTCGTCAAAGACTAGAACTCGTTACCTCAACTTGTGATCACAGCCCCATCTGTCGATCGACAGAACCGTCGACGTTTCTAAAAGAAACCTGAATCGACTGTGATCGCTGTTGCCAAGACACGTTTGCAATCATTGATAGAGGGTTTGTTCCGTTCTGTATGTACAAGACTGAAATACCACTCAATATTATTTGAAGTTCTTAAGGTACTCATTTATACCACACAGTGTACTTCCAGTTCTTATCATCACTACAATGAGATGAACTTAATGTTACGTTGTCGATAATTTTTATAGATTATTTTCCTTATTACATCTTACTGTATTATCTGTACTTACTGAGTGTTCGACTCACGTTTTTCTTGTACTCTTTCAGATCCTCATGTACGCTGCTTCTCACACTCATAAAGCACAATGCACGTTTACACTAGACGAAAAACCATCAACAGCTAAACGATATATGTGTTAAGGTGAAGAGCCGAATCAGAGGTCTTCGCGCACGTTATTTCATGTCATTTATCAGATGTCAATTGGATTTCGGCTTTTGAATGTCAACCTTTATGACGTGTACCTTGTCACTCACCCTTAATCATGATCAAAAAGACTATTTCTTAGTAGTTCGGCGTCACTTATTAGAATGTCAAGCTAACTTGAGTTTCGTCGTCAAGTCAAACAGGAAAACAAAAGTACATTGCCCACCAATATTTACTTCATTATATATTTTGAGTTTCTATTGAAGTACTACACTTCGTCACTAACCAATATTTGCCTAAGATTTATCAGAAAGGGTGTAGATATCTGCCATGTGTTTATTAAATATAATCTGATTCAGTGTTGTGATAAATTATAGTTACATATTAAACACTATTCTTGCAAAAACTTTAAGCTAGCCACCATTACTAGCCTTGTGAGTTCGCAAAACTGATATTGATGACGCATTTCTGTTTATAACATAGAAACAAAGCTGTCCAGTAGGTCAACACGTACGAACTTTCTATTAGAGAACAAATGACATTCCTAATTACTGACCAAGTTTGAAATAGAGATCTAATACGAAGTACCAGTAGATAATAATTTATTTGTGCTCCCTAATTATATATTAGAGTTACAAGTTGTTGTATCAGTATTATAAATGCTCAAGCTATCGGAAGATATTGAAAATTATTAGGAATTGTTCACAATTCATGGGATAATCTGAAATTCGATGATCAGTACATTCGTTATGAAACTATATGGGATTAAAAGTAGGCAAATCGTTTCCCACGACCTCATATTCAACGTTATTGTTTCCGACAAGTCAAAACTTCATTACACTTCTTTATCACTTATGGGACCTTGAACAGACTGAAAACTTTGCTCCTGTTCGTCAGATCGACATCGATGGAGGTAGCGTAGAACACGACAATAGGTGGGAGGAACGTATGTTTGTTGTTAGAAGTTCTTTCCTTTCTGTTTTAATACATTTTCTGAGCGAATAATTGAGGAAAAATAACATGGTAAGAAATACAGTTTAGTTTGAACTACAAACAGGAAAGACTCTTTTCGGCATATGACGTCCCTCATTTTTCTCTACTTGCTCATATCCTGAGTTATGTCTGATAACTCCTGGAACCTTTGAGTTGCACGATGACTAGGACTGCACTATCACAAACAACAGGGAATTTGAATCGTAGAGTCGTTTGTTATTTCAACTTCTATTATAAACTACTTAGTATCTAAAATCATAGCATACTAAGAAGCTTAGACCCTATAATGGGTAGAAAATGCCTGTAAAAATCCGTTTCTCTGTCATTCTGAGGGTTGTTATGAAAAGGACATGTAACTGCGATTCAACAGGAAACAAACTGAACGTTAATAAACCTGTAACCCGCTATTGTCTAAGATCAAAATAAATGAACTCATCTAGCTACTGAGGATCCTCTCATATTACTCGTCGACAATCTCAACTAGCGTAAATACCTCGCCAAACCTCTCGAAAATCTATTGTCTACTTATTTGCAGGTTGCGTATTACTTGAGGATACTGTATCCTTCACCTTGGAGATATGTTTGTGTTACGAGTCACACCGAATTCTAATTTCGTCACATAGTGTCGAAAAACATGGTTAACTAGATAGTTTACACTCTAAAATAAAGTTTGACTACCCCCAAAAGTATCTGCTATATGATGAGCAGTTACCAAGCAACACGGAAGCCGAAGTTCACACTAAAAAAAAGAAAACAACGTATATGGTTTGCAACAATTTTCATAAACCAATGTTAAAATAAGCTACCTTTAGACAGGAAGTTCAGTTAATTATTCGTCTATTTTGAAAGATAACCATAGTCCGAGCACACTATCTGACTACGAGTGAAAATTAGGCCCATTGGTCAGAATTTAAATTCAACTCCTAATAATAACTAAATTTAAGTGTTATCCCTCAAAGTAAATAGATTTGCCGATTAGGTTTACTGTTTTCCCCAGTCAACCAATCACACAACTTAAAACTATTTTAATACACGAATAAAAGGACTTTAGACTAACTGTTACTTTATCTACTGACTTAATGTGCATTAATATGAATCAATCGTGATTGGAAAATAGATCTAAATAATTACAGAAAATAAAAATGTAATATTAGGATCCCTTCCGACCGTTGCTGTTATCTTGATGTGGTGGTTGGGTTTGCCTGTCGTCATGAGACAGTCTGAAAATACACTGGCTAGAACAATCGTTCCTCAAGGTCCTACCATGCCTAGTAGACCGGTAAAACTTAAAGCAGCACACCCGAGGTTCAAGGGCGATGGCAGTAATATGTTTCTGCTAGACAACCATAATAACAGCGATGCTACCTTCCCACAAAGGGGAGGGTGTGGAGAAGATCAGCCTTAAAATTTCACACCTCGTCTTATCCCACGGATATTCATCTTCGTTGGTGAGATCTTAACAAGTACACAGGTAACACAAAAATTATCCACATATGAGGTCGTGTGTGACCAGACTTAAGTAGGTGTCTAATGGGCACTGTGGTCACCGCTCTCAGGTCACTAGGATCAACTCTAACCCAATCTCCTTATCAGGTTTATCTTATTATGTTCATTTAAACACATAGACATAGGTACAAGAACGCACAAAATAGATATGCGCCATACAAATCATTCAGTTTTTGTGGGGGCTAGGATAATGCCCTGATGCCAAAACCGAAGTAGGTGGTTTTCTTAGGGAGCCACACTCGGAGCCTTTGACCTAAAGATCTAATTCACAAGGCAGGGGAGCAACGTCACGAGATGCAGTCCCATGGTAGTCGGTGACCAACGATTGGTTCATACGTCATCTGTTCCCTTAGGACACTAAAGCCCATGTTCATCATCGATTTGGAATCAGATTTTCCCAACCACCTTAGGTGGACTCTCAGCGTCCACCAACCCGGTTAAAGCGCCAGACATTCGCTCTTCGTCCTCTCAATTTCTTAAACAACACCCCGCCATGAGAAGCCAGTGAGTAGGGCTTCCCTTACAATGGTTATATGCACGTGGTCATGTGAGAGCATTTCGAAGGGGTAAGTTGATTCTCCCCACTCTCGACCGTACCAGTGCATTTGAGGCCCTCCTACGGTGTGAGCAACCGGGAAGTGAAAACCGCCCTCATATCTCTAGCAACACCCAAGACAACTGTATTCATAATCAGTTGCCTTCTTCAAGTCCTATTATTCCTCCTATCTCGAGTTTCAAATCTAAAATTCTTCCTCAAGTGTCACCATGACAAACGATTCTAGTGCGCAAAACACTGTCCCAGGTCTACTGAAACCTCGCTGCAAACTACATATTGGAGCCTCCAACGTACGCATCCTATGTCGAATCGGCCAGCATGCCTCCTTGGCTAGAAACCTAGAATCTCGTACTATTGACGTATGCTGTGTATCTGAAATATATATACAAGATCCTAATGTGGTCATTTACATGACATCACCTTGACAAAACGGAGAGCCGACGAGATACGCCCTTGGTGCATTTGGCGACTCGATGACTTGTGTAGATATAGCACTAAGTACGAGGGCAGAATAGGCACTATTAGAGTGGATCCCCGTTAACAGTCGGTACGGCCGAGAGCAGGGTTGGTTCGCTCTCCCTCTCGAAATACTCTCACACGGCCACGTGTATACAGCCTCTGCCAGGGAAGTCCTACTCACTGCCTTCTCGTGGCATTACTGTTGTTTACGAAAATGAGAGGACGAAAAGCTAATGTCCGGCGCTTTGACTGGATCCCAAATCAATGGTGCTTATGGGCTCTAGTATCCTGAAGGAACAAATGGCGTATGAACCAATCAATGGGCACCGGCTACCATGGGACCGCATCTCCTCACGATGCTCCACTGCCTTGTGGGTTAGATCATTAGGTCAAAGGCTCGGGGTGTGGCCCCCCACGATAACCACCTGCTTCGGTTTGGGGACACAGGCAGTATCAAAGACCACACAACGAACTGAACTGTCTATGACCATGGAAACTAATTCTCCTGCTTCGACGAACATTCAAATGATTCTATTATTATTATTATTATTATTATTATTATTATTATTATTATTATTATTATTATTATTTACTAAGTCATTATTCACCCTCCTTTAATCCCACTCTGTTCATACTTATTTTTTTCGACTTATACAGCAGCTCGTCCATGGTGGAAGTTCGACTGTATCTAAACGTTCTCGAGTCACTGTCTGGTTGAAAATTGTATGTTACCACCAATTACGAATACTGAAGCAGTTTTTCTGAAACCAGATGCACCCTTCAAACTGGCTGCCTTCAACGTTCGCACATTAATGCAGGTCGGACAACAGATAGGGCTGGCTATGTCTTTGGAAAGTCTTAATATTGATGTTTGTTGTCTATCCGAGACTGGTGAGGTACTACAAATTCGATCTCCATCTGTCGCTTCAAAAAGCTTGTTTTACGTGCGCTTATCCGGGGACCCTGTGGCATCTTCGTCTGGTCTTGCTGGCGTTAGTGTCGCACTAAGCGCTAGACCTGAGGCAGCACTAGTCGATTGGATCCCCATTAACAGTCGGTTACGTGCTGTTAGATTAGAGAGTTCCATCCAAGTGAGAAGAAATCGGAGTGAGAAACGATGTCTTTTCGTCATCTCCTCCTATGCCCCGACAGATTGCAGCCCGGATGCAATCAAGGATGAATTCTACCACCAATTATCTGTTCTTCTCCAGAAAAAGCGTTCGACAGATATTGTAGTACTAGCCGGAGACTTGAATGATCAGGTCGGGCGTCTAGGCAGAGGAGGATTATTTAGGTGGCCGATGGGGAATTCTTGATCGCAGGTCAGATAACGGGGACCGTCTACTGTAACTGTGCACAGACCACAACCTGTTTCTGGCTAGCACTAACTTTCGACACAGTCATCGCCGATGTGCCACCTGGCGTCCTCCCTCTGCATCTCAAGCCTGGACTCAGATTGATCACATCGCGATCAGCTACCGCTGGCGTGGTTGTGTACAAGACTGCCGCTCTTTTTGGAGTACCTATCTGGACTCTGATCATGCTTTGGTCTGCGCCAATCTTGCCTTACTTTTCAGTGGCCAACGAAGTGACCACCACCAAAGGATTGATGTTAGCAAGTTGGTTGCAACTTCTGTTGCAAGTAAGTATTGAACCGAGCTAGTTTCTAGACTAGCTATCATTCCACCGAAAAGTATAGATGAGCATTGGTTGCAATTGCATGACGCCATGAAAATGGCGGGTACAGTCAGTTGTGGATTTGCGAAACATCCCGTTATAAGCACTGGGTTTCTTCAGGTTCCTTACAACTCATTGAAGCCCGTCGGTCTATTCCGGGTGACCGTGAGTTTGACCATAAACAAAGGATGTTACGTAAGGAAATTGGGCAAAGCTTGCGTAAGGACCGAGAAGCCTGGTGGTCGATGCGTGCTAATGAGCTGGAAGCAGCAGCTACATCTGTTAATTACCGGAAGCTCTTCCAACTCATCCGAGCCACTGGCAGCAAGAAGTCTGGTGTCAGCGAAACAATCTGCGAGGATGATGGGATGCCAATCACTAACATCCATCGACGTCTTGGACAATGGGCAGAATTTTTCGAAGGGCAGTTCAACTGGCCTGCTGCTCCAGCAAGACTTTCCAAAGACAAGTCTATGGAAATTACCTTTCTCGCTTTGAAAAACAAACAATTAAGCATTTGACACGGTAGACGGCGAGATTCTGTGGCAGTGTCTGTCAATGAAAGGCGTACCACAGAAGTACATAAACCTTGTGAAGGCTCTTTACTCGAACCCTACCAGTCGAGTCACAGCTTATGGCGAACTGTCATCTACTTTTGCAACCTCAAGTGGTGTCCGTCCATTTTTGTTTAACTTCATCATAGACCTACTGATGGAAATAACATCCCCATCGACTGAATTCTCGGGTATTGATCTCCTACCAGGAGGTCCACTTATCGACTTAGAATACGCAGATGACATAGTCCTGTTTGGTGAAGACGCTGACAAAATGCAGTCTTTTGGTAGCACTAAGCAACAATGCCAGAATGTTTGGAATGCGCTTCTCTCCCTCTAAATGCAAGTTGTTGCTTCAGGACTGATCTGTGTCAACACCTGAACTATGGATAGGGAGTGAAGTAGTCGAACGCGTTGACAACTTCATTTATCTTGGTAGTCTGATCAGCCCTAATGGGCTGGTATCGGACGAAATCTCAGCACGGATTCGAAAAGCTCGTTTGGCTTTTGCCAACTTACGTCACCTATGGCGAAGGCGAGATATCCGTCTATCAATAAAAGGACGAGTATACTGCGCTGCAGTCCGTTCTGTTTTAGTTTACGGCAGCGAAACATGGCCTTTAAGAGTAGAAGACACCCGTAAGCTACTATTATTTGACCACAGATACCTCAGAAATATTGCTGGCGTCTGTTGGGATCACCGGGTAAGTAATAGTGAGGTTAGGCGCAGGGTATTAGGGAATGATGGTAAATCAGTCGATGAGGTTGTGAATCTTCATCGACTGAGATGGTTGGGCCACGTGTTACGTATGCCTGAAGATTGATTACCATAACCCGCAATGCTGACTAGTGTTGGAGACAGCTGGAGGAAAGTTAGGGGCAATCAAACCAAAACGTGGCATCAGTCCTTGAAGTCACTGACTTCTAGTCTGTAACATGTTGGTAGAAGCAGACTACTTGGTTGGGGTCTGCGCGACTGTCGTAACC